TCTCATACTTGGACACGATGGTCTTGCACTTGCCCACCTCCTTGCGCAGCTCAGCCACCTCCGTCCTCAGGGCTGTGTTCTCCTTCTCCAGGAAGGCTGCTCGGATGGTGATCTGGTTCTCCTTCAGGCGCCGGGCGTCTCGGGACCGTTTGGCAGCCACATTGTTCTTCTTGCGCCTCGTCCAGTACTTTTCGTCCTGTGGGGAAGTGTCCTTTGTGGGTCTCTCCCCTTCCCGAGGGAACCTGCCTTTTACTCCTTCCAGCACTCACCCCCGACTGCTCTTACAACTCATCTGAGGCAGGCAGAGTAAGAGCTGGACCCCGGGAAGGAGCTGCATGTGCCAAGGACACTGCGGGCCCTGCGCTGCCTACTGGGAGGTGGGATCAGCAACAAAGTGCTTTGCTAGATATGTGGTGGAGGGAGGGGGACCCCACTTCCTGGTAGTCCATGCCCTTGCTTCTCTGGGGCATTTTGGTTGTGGCTAAGGGCCTGTACACTACGCAGGGGTCCAGTCCCCTGAGTTCAAAGCTTGGCTCTGCCACTTACTAGCAGTGGAACTGTGCAAGTTCCTTAACCTCCCAATGTCTCAGGTCCCTCATCTTTACAATGGGGGATAATAACTGTAACTACCTCACAGAGTTGTTTGAGGATTGTATGTACAAGATGCTTTTAACAGTGCCTGGCCTACATGGTTGTGGACTGCATAACTGTTTACCATTTTCATCATCACTACTATCAAGGCCTTAAGGAGGCTCCTGAGAGGCAGGTATGTTATTCCCATTTTACAGATGAGAACCCAAGGCCCAGCTAGGTCTAGGTAGCAAAGTGATATTTCAGTCCAGGTCTGCCCTGACTCCAAAGCTTGGATGAAAAGATCTTCCTGTGAGTTTTTCATAGGAGAGGATGGAAAAACTGCAAAATCCTCCTTGCCCTTCCCCATCTCCCAGTGTCTATAAAAACGTCAGCTTCAAAACTGCTCGCTTTCCCTGGGGATGGCAACATACAACTATCTTTTCTTTCCATGCAAGAGTTTATTCAAACCCAGTTCCTGTGGCTTAGTGAGCTCTTGCCTGAAGGCTGGGCTAAAGCTAGAGCAGCAGGAACATCAACATCGCCAGTGGCCCAGAAGGGAAGAGAAGCTTTAGGGAGTCACACTAGGGCCAAACACCACATGACTCCCTTTTCTTCTACCAATTGCTGCAGGATATGCCTCTATGCTCTCAATTTATGCTTTTCTAAATGCTGTCCACAAGGAGGCAGGTCCTCCACACAAAATCAAATGTGAGGAAACACAGCCCCTTGAACCAAGGCTGCACCTTCATTTATAACAGATACCAGGTTACCTTCTGCTCATCAGGGACAAAGACCTTCTTGGCTTTTTTGATCATGGGCTGGGGCTTCAGGTCCTCCTCTGCAAACTTGTGCTTCCGAGGGTTGAAGAGCTCCCCACCAGGCACACTGGAGAGGACCAGGTCGGCAGGGTCGGGATTGAAGTTCACGTCCACCTCCACACAGTTGGGGTCAATGGGACTGGGTGTCTCTCTCTCCTTCTCCAGGGAAGATTCTGAAAGACACAGAGGAAGGTGGTCCTGAAGGGGCCCACTGGACGGCAAAGACTCACTTTTTCACACACCAAGACACCTGCTTGAATCTCAGGGTTGCACAGGCCACTGCCCCTTGGCGGGAAGAAAACCCACAATGGCAGCAGTCCCCGAGCCAGACTGGCATACGTGATGCAGTTCAATGACACAGACATGGGGAATTCTTCCCTTTAGGAACAAAATGCTCAAAAGGAAACAGAAGCCCTCAAAAAATAAAGGATTTTCTGATTGTTTTTCCTCCCAGAAATGTTATGCAAAACATTAAATCACTATATCCCCTTAACTTCCTGTGGTTTCAAGTTCTCAAGTAATGAGAAACAGCTGAATCTCGCCACGAACTATAATGGGTAAGGGACAAAGATGGAATAACGAAATGGCTTCCATTTTTGAATTCCTTTTCTAAGGAGCACATTCAAATTAGTCTTACGACGATTCTACGTGGAAGATGGATGTTAGCCTTATTTTACAGATAAGGAAACTAAGGCTCAGAGAAATGTGGTTTTCCGGGGCTCACACAGATAGTGACTGAACAAAAGTTGAGTGTGAGTCTGGCTGATTTTGAATCCTTGTTCTTCTCTGCCCTACCCAGCTGCCACTCTATAGGGAACACTGGATTAAAGGCACTTACAGAATTCAAAGGTTGTGTGTTTATTAGAGATAAGTTATTAAGAAAAAAACTACACCTTTGGCCTGTTTGTTCAGTGCTACTGACAGGAGTACACAAACTGATTATTCAGTTAATAGATATTATTGAGCACCTACCATATGCTGATACCATCCTGGCAAAGACAAAGCAGTGAATCAAACAAGTAAAAATCCTTTGCCTTCCTGGAATGTTATTCTAGGGGGAAGGCACTGGTGTGTTTAAGGAACAGTAAAGAAGGCCAACATGGCTGGAGGGAGCGGATGAGAGGGAGGAGTAATGGGACCGACCCAGAACAGAGTGTTTAGGGCTTTAATCTGAATAAAGCGTTGATTTTCAATAGTGAAGGATTTTGTCCTGCGGGGGACATCTGGACATGTGAGGATGGGGGCTGGGGTGCAGTGCTCTTCTGGCATCTACAGAGGCCAAGGATACTGCTAAATACCCTACGATGCCCAGGACAGTCCTTCCCCACCCCCAACAAAACATTATCTAGTCCAGAGGTCCACAGTGCCACAGATTCTGACTTTTACTGAGATGGAAGAAGCCATTGGAGGGTTCTAAGCCGAGGTGTGACACAATTGGGTTTTTAACTGGATCATGCCCATAAACTCACTGTGTCCTGTTGGAGGAGGTTAACTAACTACAGAGAGGACTGAGCATCAGCGGAGTCAATGACCAGGGACGAGCATGGCAGCTGTAGGAATACTGAGGCTGCCAAACTCTATGCCTGCAAAACAGACACCTGAGGTACCAAAGGCTGACCACTAGGACTCCCCTGCTCTGTGGGGGAACAATAAATGGCCAACCCCCTCTGTACACTATTTGGCAGCATCTATAAAAGCAGAACATATGCACGTCCAACGACCCAGCCATTCTACTCTTATGTAAATAACCAAGCGAAATGTATACATATATTTACCAAAGTATGTATAACCCAGAACTAGAAACACTGCAAATGCCCAGCATCTGTAGAGTGGGTGAACTGCGATATGGCCGTACAATGGAACACCGTTCACAGAGAACATGAAGGAACCACTGCTATAGGCAACGACATGGGTGATTCTTATGAAGTTGTGGAGAGAAGCTAGACACAAATACACAGTTTATATATTTTCTACAGATGAACAGAAAAATTAAGAGGGGGAATTCTACTTTCATTTCTACCATGTGTATAGTCAGTTCTTCAGTGTAAGTCTTACTGCATCTGTGTGGTTTTGCTGTCACAGGAGTATTCCCTAAATGTGTTTTGTAATCTATTTTATCAGTATAAAGAGAGTCTGATGCCCACATAAACTACATATACTATACAGCTAGCTATAGGATGCTATATATGTGAGAGAGTAAATGTAATTAACTTAAATATAAAAAAAGGACACAAGATACAATTTCATGATTCTCTGGTGATGGAAATGAGGCTAGTGATTCCCTCCAGGGAGAAAGGACTGCGCAGGGTCACAAGCCCTTCTGAGATACCGGAAGTGTTCTGTATCCTGATTTGGATGGTAGTTACGTGGACGGGTTCACTTTATGAAGACACATCAAGCTGTATACTTATGAAGTAACCACTTTTGTATGTCTTACTTCATTAAGAAGGTTTACTTGAAATCAAAGGCAAATGCCACCTAAGTGGTCTAAGGTATAAGATGAGAGCTCCTTTCCAGCTCTGCTCCCTATTCACACACGGAACTGGCCTTGTAGGGCAAGCTGACCAGCACGAAAATGAGCTGCCTTTAAACAATTATTCAGCTGTAAGCAGCTGAAGCCTCTGGGTCTAACCGGTTTACAGGAAAAAAGCAAGGGGCAGAGAAATGTGTTAAATGGCATTACAGGGATATAGTCAGAAAAGTCCAGCATATACAAAACTCTAGAGGACAAAATTTTCAGTTTCTTCAACAAATAAGCTACAAAGAAAAAAAAAAAAGGATAGGGGAGCCTATAGATTACAAGAGATTTAAAAGATGTAACTAAATGAAATGTGTTAAGAGAAAAGGGTCTTGTTTGGATCCTTTTCAATCAAGCAGCAACATTCATGAGACAACTTTTTGGAAATTTGAATGCTATGGACTTATTGTCATTTTCAGATGTAACACTGCTATTGTTGTGCTTTTTAAAAGAACCTTTACATTTTATATACATATTGAAATATTTGTGGATGATATAGTATCTAGGATTTGATTGAAAATAATCAGGTGAGGGGAATGGAAGAGGTTACAGAAAATAAGAATTATGGAAGCTGAGTAACATTACATGGAGGTTCATTATAGTAGTCTCCTACTTTTGCATTTGAATGTTTTTCCATAGTAAATAGCAGAATTCCTTCGGTGTGGGTGCCTGGGGTCCTTCCCTGTATACTTCACACTGAGTCTGCAGAAAGATTTGCAGAGCTCATGCCTTCTCTGGTGGGTTCATGTCCAAGGGGCATGAAAAGCAATCAACCTCTAGAGGTAAAACAGAAAAGGGACAAGCAGATGGAGAAATTCCACAGATGATGTTTGTCCTGGCAGCAGGAATGCCTTCTTTGTGCCGGTGCCTAAGCAGTACCTGGCTCCAAGTGCTGCCTCCACAACCTACCAGCTGTGTGACCTTGAGGAAGTTAGTTCACATCTTGGTTTCCTCACCTATAAAACAGGGGTAATCTATCAATCTCATAAAGTTCCTGTGAGGATTACATGTTAATGCCTGGCATAGAGTAAGTGCTAAGTGAATGTGTCATTCTTCTTATTGTTTACTGTTATTGTTATTATTACTGCTAGATCTTCCCGATTATCTGTGGCAAAGTGCATGCAGGGTGAAGAACAGCACCGAGGAAATGTAGAATGGGATTTCTGTCCTGCAAGGCCCAAACTGGAAGGTCTCACTCCACGGTCCCAACCATCTGTAGCACGCCAGCCAACAAGAGAGGCTCCACTGCACTGATGTGAGCGCTATTTTTATCTCTAACCTCGGAGGACTGCGCTGAAAGGGAGGGAGCAGAGGCCTTCTCCACCTTGCGGGCCCACCAGGACATCCTCTAAGGGAAGGGTGTGTGGACACAAGCAGCCCTTGGTGGGAATAGGACTTCCTTGGCTGGGAAAGGTGGCCCTGGCCAGAGGCCCGTCACCAACCTGTGCTGGAGACGGTTTCAGAGGGCTGAAAGATAGTGGTGGAGGAGGATGGGGGCGATGCCGTGGACGAGCTGGCCGATTCCTTCCCTTCGAGCTCGGCCACAGGCAGCAGCAGGTTCTGGGCCAGGTGAGTGGGGCTGGCAGGGATGCCGTTCTCCAGCAGGAACTCATCCAGGTCCATGTACTCCAGGTGGAAAGACTCGCCATCATATGGGATGGTCTTGTCCCAGATGGGTGGCATGAGGGAGGCCGAGACGGCCATGGTGCTGGCTGCCGCGGCCTCGTCTTCCTCCAGCTTTTCCTTCCCCTTTTCTTTATCTGCAGACACAAAATCTGTGATGAGACACCACGCAAGAGGGTCACTCAATCCCAGAAGGTGAGCAGTGAGCCTTGCGGCGCTGACCCATCTCTCAGAGGCCTGATGTGGTCCCAGGGTGAGTTCAGAATGGCCTGTGGGATTGGCATCTGCAGCAAAGAGGCTACAGGGAGAAAATGAGAGATTCTGATCCTTCCTGGTGTCTTACAATGTCTTAGCAAATGGCTGGTTCCTCAGGCCAAGAACTTTTGTGTTTCTCCTGTCCTGTCCTGTCCTTTTCTGCTTTGCTTCTCCACAGCAACCCGCCTAGGACTTGAATCCCAGCTCTGTTCCCCACTTGCTGGGATGTGTGACTTTAGCCATGTCACCTAACTCTCCCAGTCTCTGTCCACCACTGTAAATAAAGATAATGCTGTCTCCTTGGTGAAGACTAGAGGTAACATTTCGAAGTGTCGTACAAAGCTGCTGGCCCATGGCAAGCGTTCACTATTACTGTGAGCTTGTTGAGGGCTGGGACTGTGTCTGATTCATTTCCGGATCTTGGGGGCCAACACAGGAGAAGGCAGGCAGTGGGCCATGGGGAAATCTATATATTGAACGAAGAATGATGGGTTTGCAAACAGACTCCTGAGGTTTATCAGATGAGAGGGCATGGAGCTGTCTTTTCAGGACCTTTTTCAGAGCAACCATTTCAAGAGACCTCTATCCTTGAACAAGCAAATGAGACTGAAGGCAGATTTCTGCAAGAGGGAGAGGGGTAGAGCTGAAGAAGAAAGTTTGTTTCTATTCAAAGCAAAACTGATCCATCAGTGGGGACTGGATCCCACCTAAATGTCTTAGTCAAAAAGTTATGCAAGTGAATATCCAAGGAAGGGCAAATTAAGAGAAAAGGGGAGAAATGCGACAAAGTTGGAAGGAAATCAAAGTGACAGAGATGCTAACCAGGGAAGTGGGAGATAAAACTCATGACAAGTTCATAATGGGTTTTCAAATTGAGGGAGACAACTTTGAACTCTGGATTTTGAAGTGAAAAAGAGAAATCTAATATGATTATGTTGGAAAAGTCACACATGGACTCCTAGACCACAGATGGCCAAAAAGTAGCCTGTTGATCCAATAAAAATGGACACACCCAGTGAATTAAGAAGGTGGAGATTTTGACAAATAGAATTTGGCATGGCTTCTAATATGAATTAACCTGAATTCTTGCAACTGCCTTCTGTACCAGACCTTGGTTTAAAATCAAATGGGAAGAAAGCCAAGCTCTGGTGGTCTGGGTGGGCCAGATGGCCTCTCTGTTCTCCTCCCCAGAGCTCTTCACTCTACTTTCTATTCAGAAATGACTGTGCTCCATGTTGGGTGAAGTCATGGGGATCAAAGCAGTAAGGAGAAGAGAAGAGATAAAAAACAGACATACTGAAGGACAACAGTAAGTTCCAGGTTTTGTCTGGCCTAAGCAATTAAGGATATTTTTAATCGGTGTTTTTATAGGATGGAATTCTAATTATGAGATGATAAGGGACTAAGCCCATACCTCAGGTCACAGAGATTGACATCAGTGGTTACTAGTGACACAAGAAAAAGCACCAGACTAAGAGCTGTAAGGCCTAGCTGTGTGACCTTGACAAAGCATCCCCACCGCCCTGAGCATCAGCTCTCCACATCTGGGAAGTGGGGAGAATACCCTATTGGACAGCTGTGAAAAACAATAATTTAATGTCAACTGCTTTGTAAGCACTCTACAAAGGTAAGGCAGAATTATTGCCATGGATGTTTATTACTTGGTAATCTTGAACAAGAACCTGACAGATGTGCACCCCTGCTCTGGCAACTTGTCTCAGCCCCAGATCTGGAACAAAGGCATTGCCTTAAAAACAAAGGGTTTGTGCACATGAGGTCCTGAAGCAGGACAAAGTCTAGCCTCACCTGATGTGCTAAAGCTATTTATAACCCAACAGAGACAGCCATGGGGATGCGAGCCTCAGAACCCAGGAAAGCAAAAGAAATGGAATTTTTTAAAAAGAAAATTAATCCCCCAAGACAGGCAATTCACTGAAGGCCTATTCCTTCCCAAACCCCTGAACTATATTGACAGGTTCTTGGGAACTCAAGTCTCAGACTGAAAGCATACCTTGGTGCACCTAAAACCCCACAATAGGTGGCACTCTTGCTGCTCCCTGAACCTCATGTTCCCAGGTCAAAAAAACCTGGGCCAAACCTGCTTTCCAAGTAGGTCCCAGGGACCTCTGCGGCTAGTCCTGGACAGTGGCCCCAAAGTCTAGGGTCAGCCCCAGCCAGCCAGGTAAATGGCCTCAGGGCCACATTCTCACCCTCATCCGTCTAACCTGCCTGCCCCAATCTCCCCCTCAAGGCTCCTAGAATCCCTTCTCCTGACACCCCTCCCCCACCCCAGCAACAGCCCTGAGACACGTTTCCAGAAAATCTCCAGTTCTGTGCCTAGTAGCTGGGGATACTCACACGGAGGGATGAAGACGGGTCCTCCTCCCAGGAGGGGGAAGGCCGAATGCAAAGAATTTGCCACCATACATCACTGCCTCTCAAACTTCAGTGGACGCTGTTATCACAGGTGGGGTGCTCCTTAAAATGCAGATTCCTGTCCCAGGAGCCGCAGATTTGGTGGGCGAAGGGTGGGACCCAGGAACCGGCATTTTAAACAACAATCCCAAGTGATTCTGATACAGGCGTACCAAGAGAAGGCGCCCAGGAGCGTCATTTACGTGGCTGCTGCGACCCCCATCAGCCTCCTCAGTAACCCCTCCGCATCGCGTGCGCCCAGTGAACCTCCTCGGCGCGACCCCACCCAACACTTTCCTCCCAAGCCCTTCACCGCCAACTTCTATCTGACCCAACCGCACTCAACTCCCTTCCCACCTTCTTCTCCGAAGCCCCTCACCACCCTCCCGGCTTCTCAACACAGGCCCCAACCCCCTCCCCCAGGACTTCACCCAGACCTCCGACCTCCCCGGCCCCGCCCCACGAGGACCCGCCCCTGCATAAGCCCCGCCCCCGGCGCGCGCGGACCCCCGCCTCTCACCGAGGCGCGACTCGCGCGGGGGGTTCTCCATCAGCTTCCTCAGGACCAGTGGGAAGGAGCCCGGCAGGCCCCTCTCCCCAGCTGCGCGCCCCGGCCCCGGGCCCGGCCCCGCCTGCGGCTCCACAGGCTGCTTCTTTCCGCCGCCCGCGTCGGACATTGTGCCCCACGCTCCACTCGCGCGCCTCACCTCCCCCGCCCGCCCCCCAAATGTGGGCCGGAGCTGTGCGACCCGCCGCAGCAGCCGATACGGGCAGCTACTGCGCAGGCGCCCAGCAGCACCCCCCGCCTCCCTCCATCCCTACCCCGCCCGCGGACCGGCCCCGGCATATTAATTATTCATGAGGCCAGGCCAGCTTCCCCGGATCGCTGCCGTGGATTGGCCCGCCCTGCCAGGAGGACTGGCGCAGCCTTCTGGTCCGTGATTGGTTAGCCTGCCTGGACAAACGAGACACGTGCGGGGCCAGGTGAGTTGCAGCGCTGGCGGCCCCGCCCCGTTCGCCCCTGAGTCCCGTGATTGGCGCCTGCTGGAGTTTGTGTCACAGGCCTTCTCCCGCGGCAGCCCCTACCCCTCTACCAGTGGTTTCACCTTCGCCTCCCTCTTCATGACCCCTGCCCTCCTTCCAGACCACCGTAACCGCTCTTCCCTCGCATCCCAATCTCGCCATTCTCTGGAAGCGCCGCTGAAGAGAGGCGGCCCTCCGCGTGTCACGTGGAGCCGCAGCCGAGCCTGGTCGCGGGGGAGGGGGAGGAGAAAGGCACGGAACAGCCAATGGAGGGCGGAGGCGGGACTCGGGTCGGGGCACGAGGCGCAGCACGTGCAGGGCTGCGACTGGGAGGTGAGGGGCGGGTCTGTTTGTTCTGGGGACTCTGCCCAGGGTCGTGGGGCTGGGACACAGAGCCCCGCCCGCGACCCAGAGGTTGGCTCAGGGCAGGACCGCGAACGGTGACCTGCCCTGCCCGTAGGGGTGGCTGGAGCAGGCTTGGCCGCTGAAGGGGGTATCGGGTTCCCCACTGATCCGGGTTTCTGGTGCGGGCGTGGCCGCCAGATAAACACTAGCGTGGAGGGAGCATTCTTGAGGCCCCAGGGGCCCCAGGGGTGGAGAGAAAGGGCCTAGACCTGAGAGAGCCGGGGTACACGCTTCTGACCTTGAAAAAGTCCATTTGCTTCACTTGAACCTGTTTCCTCATCCATAAAATTGAGGAGTTGGGCTAGATAATCTCTAAAGTCCTAAACAGCTCCGAAATTCTATCCTTCTCTAGGACTTTTTATTTCCTAGAAAAGACAACGCAAAACAAACTCTACACCGGGTACCGATTGCACACTTTGTGGGGGAACCACCTTCTCTTTTAAAAAGTAATCCTTGGGAGGTCTTCAGGAAACGTATAGAAATGCTAAGATGTGAAGGGGTACAGAAATGTGGAGCCCTAATAAATAGGAAGCTGCTCCTAAACACCACCCAGAACTTCATAGCTCTTTAGAGCACCAATCCTACTTTGCTTTGAACCCAAGCAATATTATCTGACTCCCCCTACCTGAACTTCCAGCAGGGGCTTTGTCTTGTTGATCTGTTTCCCACCAATGACTCAGGCTGGGGGAATGGTAGAACGCAGTCCTTGGTTCATGGGGTGGGTGCATGACCCGCAACACCCAGCTAGCAGAAAGTTGTCAAGCTGATAAAATCAATCTTGCTGTGAGTTGAGGAAAAAGAAGTTGGACCCCTGAGCTGATCTGGAAAGCAGGTGGTTTGGAGGGACTCTGGGTGGTAGGCACGGCAGGCTGATGAAGTCTAACTCCAAAATTCAAGTTCTTACTGTCACACTCAGTACACTTCAGTCATTATCTGATGGCCAATGTTCACCTATCCAGGCCTCCTTTCTTTATAATATCAAATACAGATAGGCCAGGGTCTACCTTGTAAGGTTTCTGTAGGCCAATGCATGTAAAATTGCAAACGTGCAACAAATGGTAGTTTTCATAATTTTACTAAAACTCATGGGTAAAAATCCACTGCTTGGTGTATCCATGATCCCAGAGACTAGCACAGTACCCACATCATTCTATATTTAGTATAAATACTAAATTGTAATAATAGAAAATCTGTTGTGGTGCAGTTATTAGTGGGAATTCTTTATGTGGCTAAACTAAGGTATCTTTAGGAGAAAATGACCTAGAGATTTTTAGAAACAATTTGAAAGGGCAGTCCAAGGAAATTTACATGAAGCTTTTTAAAAAATGGCTACTTTGGCAGGTGGTGAGACTTGCTGGATTAGAGTTAAATGTATAATTTCATGGCTAATGTGACATTATTGAAGGGCAAAAAAAATCTCAAGGTATCAGAGGAGGATTTATGATA